AACATGCCCTTCTCCACAAACTCAAATTCTGTAGGTGAGTGAAAACGTGTAGTATTTCTTTCTGAACCTAGCTTATGTTGTTTCATATATTCATCTTCAGTTTCATGCAGTTCCGCATAAATGTCATGGTTTCATTTTTCTTCATGTCTGTGTAAAATTCCATTCTGCTTATGTAGCACATTCTTTATCCATTAATTGGTTGACAGACATTGAGCAGATTCCACTTCCTGGCTATTGTGACTCGAGCACCAAGGAACACGGATGTACATGTGTCTCTGTAGTATGCTGACTTATGCTCCGTGGGGTGTATACACTGGAGAAGTATATCTGGGTCATATGGAAATTCAATTTTTGTTTTGTTTGTCGACATTTCACACTGATTTCCATTCACACTTAGCAGTGTGTGAGTTTCTCTTTCCCAACATCCTCACTAGCATCTGTTGTCATTTGTTTCCCTAGTGACAGCCATTCTTCCTGGAGTGGGATGGATTCTTACAGCAATTTAAATTTGCATTTTGCATGAGAGAAGTTTAGTAATATAACACAGAGGAATTGGAAATAAATTAAAAACTAATATTCAACATCTATTTTTAAGTTCACGTCTGTGGTGTTTCTGCCTAATAAATCAAAACAGAATTTTGTACTAGCTTAAAATATATAAACTTGGTGGGGTCCAGTGGCACATGCCTATGATCCCAGCGTTCAGGCAGGCAGAGGCAGGCAGATCTCTGTGAGTTCGAGGCCAACCTGGTCTATGAAGTGAGTCTAGGATAACCAAGGCTACAAAAAGAAACCCTGTCTTGAACCCACTCCACTAAAACAAAAACAAGCATAAAAACTTAATCTTTACAAATTAAACTTGAAAATTTTCAGAAATAATTGTATTTAATCAAGTAGATTTTCCATTATATGTTTCCCCTTCCTATTTGCAAATTACTCAAATTTTGATGATAAATTGAAGTTCTTTCTTTAAAAACCACAATCCAAGGGCCGTGGCTCCACAGTTGAAAGCACTGGCTCCTCTTCCAAAGGACATGGGTTTGATTCCCAGCTCCTAACATGGTGGCTCACAACTTCTGTTATCCCCAGTTCCAGAGGGTCCAGTGCCCTCTTCTGGTCTCTGCAGGCACTGCATGCATTGGTACCCCCACGTAAATGTCGACAAAAGACACATACATATATGTAAAATAAAATTAAAAAAATAAAAAAGTCAAAACTGGGTATATACTGTTCATATTCGTGGATTTTACAGCCACACAGTGAGATTTATGCTGGTTATTTGTGTTGATTTTTTTTCTATGTTACAAACATTTGGCAAAATATAAGTCTTTCAACGAAGTTGATTAAGTGATATAGTTAATGCTGCCCGGAGGTAAGAAAAGAGTCATCATAAGTGCACAAGTTATGTGGGATTCATACAGTTAATTTTGTTCATTAATAGCTCTTATGTTCAGCATGGAGAAAGGTAAGGTGTTTCCAAATGGATAAATACATATCCACAAACTGATTACAAACAAATCCGAGCAGTATATCGAAAATGTCCGCTCTGTGGTTACCCAGTCAGTCATCCATCAATAGAAAACTTCATGTTGGCTTAGCTCATTTGCCCATTCCAGGAGCACTTAAGGGCCAGGTGCTTACCAGGTGCTCACCTTTCCATTACAGGCTATGGAAAAGTATTCTTTCAAAAAAGCAAGTGAGGGTTTTATAAAATACACAGTCTGTTGCACGTAAGAAAAAGTCAAGAGAACACCGTGTCTCCTTCCATCCCTCCCCACTGCACCCCCTTCAAAAGAAAGGATTCAGTGTTGATAGGCATGCAGCCCCTTGCTCTCTGCACAATGCCTCTGTAGGCCAACTGTGTGGAGAGTCAGTGGGTAGCTGGAGGTCGGGCAATCCCCACTCACCGAAAGCTAAGACACACCACAGATCCCCTAATCACGCCTCTCCATGTGGACATCGTGCAACAATAGCACGTTATTCCTTTCAAAAGTGACCACCGCACTGGAAACTAAGATGAGTCACTTTTGCCTGGTCTGATGGTTTCCATCTTGTTTTTAATCAGAAGTCGCATGGTATGACCCGGGGTAATTTCTGGCAGGGTGTTCAGAAGTGTTTTGAACTCTAATACCCTTAAGTGGTATGTGTACTTTCCATTTCAGTTGTTAGTTGCCTGAGCCTTGAAGGTATTTGTATTTTCTTTCTTTGTAGAAATTACTTCAAGATTAAGAGACAGACTGGTGCTTACAGTTAATACTGAAAGCAATTTCATTTTCCATTTCTACTCAGTTGGATAAAAAAAAATTGCAATGACATACTGAAATGTTTTCATAAACATAGATGTTTAAAAATTCAGTGTGGCGAGTATATTCTTCTGCACAAAGGCAACTCGCTCTTAGGAAAAGACTGTTATCCTCTGACTGCTGGTGCTTGGAAGTCTAATTGCAAAATGCTGAGGATGAGTTATCAATGCTGAACAAAACCCAGGCTGTTGGAAAGGCACAGTGAATGCTGAAAGCCATCTTCTAGCCAGTTAACTGTACTTACAGCCTGGGCTTGAGTGCCAGTTTTTTTTGTTGTTGTTGTTTGTTTGTTTGTTTTGTTTTTTTTTTTTTTGGGTGGGGGGAAGAGCTGGGAGCCCTGTCCTGAGGCTGTGACTTACAGGCCAGGATGGGTGGCACTTGAAACCCACAGCCTCGAAGGGAAACTTTACAGACCGTGGTTCTTAACTGGAGAATGGGCCCCTGAAGCTGGGGACACAGTGCCTGATTCTTCCTGAAGAAGCAAAATTCATCTCACTAATAACTGGACTTGCTGGCATCCTTTTGCTTTGACTAAAGCACAAAAGATGTTCATGTCCGGGGGGGCGGGGACTTGAGTGTGAGAGCATATGTAAAACGCTGATCTGGTCAGAGTTCTTAACATAAAATCCCAAACTCTGAGGTAACTAGAAGAAAACACAGGGAATGTATTTTAAGACCGGGCCACATGTGACAATTTACTGAATGGGACTCTAATAGCTCCAGAAATATTAGCAAGCATTTACAAATAGGATTATGTGAAATAACAAAGGCTCTGCAAAGTAAACAAACAAATAAACAGAAAAAATTACAGAGCCAAGAGACAGACTGGAATGCCAGCTATTCAACAGAGAACTACTATAGAAAATAGAAAAACTGAAAAGAACACCAAAGGAACAAATAATCTAATAATAAATGGTAAAATAAAGTGAACCAGTCAGCCACACAGTTCCGTTATATTAATAAAAAATACAAAAACAACAAATATACTTATATACTCATGCTTACCCTGACACTATTCACAAATGGTAAGTAAAATGTGTATATTATTATTATTAATGTGTATTATTATAACATTTATAGTAATTATCATATTAACTATTCAGTGTATTAAGTGGTATATTAAACCATCATAGGATGAACAAGATCATGCTGTTTCATAAAAAAAAAAAAATGGATAGAAAAAGACATTGCGTGTTAAATGAAATAAGCCAGAAAATTTGACTAAATAGTACCTGATTTTTCTTATATGTTTGGGTTACAGATTTAAAAAGCAAGACACAGAAGCATAAGGACAACTGTTTGGGATGAGGAGCAGAATCCAGAGGAGAGAAACAGGCTTGGAGAGGACAACAGGATGTGATATGTTCAATGCATGTTGTAAATACAATATTAATAAAAGAATGCAGACCTGACACACTTTACCAGGGGTGACCAAAGCAAACAGTGCCATGGTCCAGAGGCCTCAGATACAAGTAGCGTTTGGATAAAGGTAGGGTCAGGAATAGCAAGAGGAGAACTGCTCTACAACCAATATGCAGACTGGTATTAGAGAGTGTAGATTTTGGCTGCCATGTCTAAATTGACTTGGAGCAAGAATTTATTTTGGCTCCCGAGTTTCAGAGCTTTTATTGTGTTTTCAGTCTGCCTGAAATTTGGCTGACAGGGAGTCAGAACATTGCAAAAGGAGCATGTGGCCGATGAGACTTCTCACAATAGCCAGGAAGCTAAGAGAGAGAAAGAGGCTATGGTCCCAACAGACCCTCATCGACATGAGGGGGCTTCCACCAGGCCCCGCCTCCTAATGTTCTCCTCACCCTTATTAGCACCATAGGCTGGCAGCCAGCCCCTTACCACAAGAGACCGAGGGTCATGGTGGATGGAAAACATCACAAGGGACCTAGCAAGGAAGCTTCCAGGTGACGCAGAGAGTCAAGAGCCAGCCTCGAAAACCTGAGAGAGCTGGTGGATACAAAACAAAGAACAGTTTCTCCCTGCCTTCCCTCTGCACCTCCACACCCCAGTCCATACCAAACCTGACTGCACATATGGCTGAGACACTAGCCACCATACCAAACCTGCAGAAGACAGTGGCGATGAGGAGGGATGGGTGACTGCAGATGACCATTCATGGTCATGCCATTCCCAGTACAATGTTTTGGAATGAGATTGCAATAAATTCCTCAGCGTTGTAAATTTCACCTCACCCAGGCAGGGTGTGTGTGTGTGTGTGTGTGTGTATGCCCATGCCTGTCTGTCTTTCATTTGTAAAGGAAGAATAATATATGACAAATATTTTCACTTAGGAACTTGGTCTAAGACATTGTCCAAATGGACCATTCAATTTTGTATTCCTAGGAGAAGAGTGGAGTGACCGTCCAAGCTTTCTTTCATAAAACTTAGGAGGTGGAAATAAAACGTAGCCTCACAGAACCTCACACATGGTTTTATTCAATATACCAGATGTTCAATATACCAGATTTTATTCAATATACCAGATTCCTGATATCTCTGTGCCATCGCTATGGTGCATACATGGGCACACACACACACATATGGTACAGAGATATCATATATATGTATATATATAACATATGTTTGTGTGCTTCTTATTTGAAGCTTCACAAATAATATTCTAAACGTTATCTCCATTAAAACATGAAAGTAAGACATTTTAGTAAAGATAAAAGGTAACATTACCTTATTATGATGGAGCCATAAATATTTTAATTTTTTAAATTGAGAAAGATCAATAAGCTCGGTCAGTTCCCTGGAAAGAGAAAAAGAACATGAATACTTGCAACAGTTTATCTGCTCATGGACAAGGCTGGCAGCCCTGGGAAGAACTGGCCGGGCCTGTCCTTTCAGAATTACTGGTGCACTAACCTTCAAATTTCTGAAATAACATCATTTGATTTAAGCTCTCACTGCCAGTAAAGTTCATTAAGCTGAAGTTTATATCACAGTGTTGAAGAGTTCATTTCACTCTCATTTCACAATATTTTACTTGGGGTTGGGGAAGGAGAAAAAACATGAAGTGGGCTCTGGCTTGTCAACTCAATGCTGAAAAACTGACTGGGTGCTGTTTTAGTTTGCCTGCAGGTTCTCCCTCTGTGATTGGTCTGGTGTGGACAGACAGGATCTAGGAGAGGATGAGGGAGGATACTAGAGACAGAGGCCGAGGCTTTGTCTGATCAGTAGGCTCACTGATCTACTCAACACATTTCCCACCCTTCTTGAACTGCTGGGACTCCTAACTTTTCAGGTAGCTTTGGCAGTCACAGCTGAGGCTCACATGGCCGATGGGCACATGTGGACCAGGCAGAAAGAGCTATCAGCAGAGGCAGAGGGTAGCATCTAAGAGGGAACGTGGCTGTTTGAATCTTCAGATCTCTTTTGAGTTCTCGGGGTATCAAGTACACATGGATACATGTGGCTTTCCTCTTTTAAATCTTGGAGAATACACAGTATGCAGGGCACTTATATAAACACTTATTATTGGTGTTAAATACTAATATATGAGATATATTAGCTCATTTATGATAACATCTCTCAAAACCTTTTTTGAGTCAGCGTATCCATATGTTGTGGTTTTAATTTGTTGTGGTTTTCTGTAGTGTCTCCATCTGTTGCAAAGAGTTTCCTTGATACAGGGCGAAGACTACACTTATCTGTGGGTATACGGGTCTAAATTTTTCTAGAATGCTGTTGGGGATTATGCTGCTTTAGTAAATTGGAGGTTGTAAATTCTCCTGCAATGACCGTAACTTCACTAGCTTGTACTAGTTTTTTACGCTTCTAGTTCCAGGCACAATTTCCTACTTGTTGAGTGTGTCTTACCTCTAATTAGTGAGCTGCGATTTTCACCACGGTATGCATGGCGGCACTGTATCCTTAGGGTTATCCATCGGTTCTGGCCACTGAGTCTGCACCATAGCACCGTAAGCATTGTAGCTGGGCAGGACAGTTGGTTGCCTCCCACTTTTGGAATCATGCCTGGTGTCTCCTGGTACCATGAAAGCTAGTCCTTACGGATTCTGGCTCAGGGGTCTCTGGGCTCTGTTCCTGAAGCGCACTGTGACTTTCTTTATTTGTTGTGAGCTGCCTGATATGGGTGCTGGGAAATGAATTCAGGCCCTCTGCAAGAATTCTACGCACTCTTAACTGCTAGGCCATCTCTCCAGCTCCAAACACCTATTAAAAATACATTGCTAACAGTTATAACAACTGCATGGTACTGGCATAGAAACAGAGTGGTGGATCAATGGAACAGAACAGAAGACCCAGAAATAAACCCACACCCTTATGGACACCTGATCTTTGACAAAGATGCCAAAACCATACAATGGAAAAAAAGATAGCATCTTCAACAAATGGTGCTGGTCCAACTGGATGTCTACATGTAGAAAAATGAAAATTGATCCATACTTATCATCCTGCACAAAACTAAAGTCCAAGTGGATCAAAGACCTCAACATAAAATGAGACACATTAAATCGATTAGAAGAAAAAGTGGGGAAAACCCTAGAACTCATTGCTACAGGAGACAACTTCCTGAACAGAACACCAACAGCACAGGCTCTAAGAGCAACAATCAATAAATGGGACCATGAAATTGAAAAGTTTCTGTAAAGCAAAGGACACCGTCATAAAAAAAAAAAAAAAAAAAAAAAAAAAAA